CTGCTGATCTAGCAGTAGCCTGCAGTGCTGCATTTAACCACTGCGCCACCTTGGCTCTGGCAACCCCTGTCGTACCGCCTGATACAGGGGGAAAGACTTGAGGGTGAGGTTTCAATAGATTGGCTCTGCCTGAAGAACACACAGTTTGCCCCATAGTGGCTGGAGAGGCCTGGAGGCCAACTTTAGAGGCGGCGACACCTGTTCTCAAAGGATGAATTTGACATGGAGTGTGCTAGGAGCACTCAACATCTAATCCATCTAAGGAAGATAAGCCATTCTGAGCGAGGTCTTGGAAGATTCCATTAAGTCATTTAGATGACCTCAGAGGGCATCTAGCGGAGTTGAAGAGGACCAGGGTCCTCTGAGAATCTTGGAGGCTCTATGCCTCTCCCATAGTAGTAGTCTAGAAGAAGAATGGGTGGTCTGAGAATGTGCATAGGTTATCGTGCCCTCAATCAGAGGGCCATTCCGGATCAGTACACGAGGGGTACCCAACCTGTGTGCCGTGGTCCACTACTGGGTGGTGGCTTATTCCCCAGTCGGCCATGAGGGGCTGGCTAATGTGCATGTGTGTGCACAACCCCACTGTCAGGCATTCTTGGCTTCACTCAGGGAAGCATCATGAATGCTCGGGGCCTCACTTGCCCAAGCGTCAAAGGCACTCTCGACCTCCCTCGCATGAGGAGCACAGGCACTCTTGACCCACTCGCACAAGCGTCGTGGGCACTTGAGGCCTCACTCACACAAGCATTGCAGGCACTCTCGACCCACTCATGAGAGCATTGAGGGTTCTTGGGGCCTCATTCGCCTGAGCATTGCTAGCGCTCTTGGCCCCACTTATGCAAGCAACGTGTACTCTCATGCACACATGCAGGCGTACACATACCCATCCCTCCCACAAAACCATTCCCTCTTTCCCCTCTTTCCCAACTACGGGCCCCCAGCCCAGAAAGCTTGGGGAACTCTGAAGTATACCACCCCCTGGATTGAAGACATTGCTTATCAGGGACAAAGTGGTTTAGTGTGCTGGATCTGAGAAGTGGTTACCACCAGATTCCCATGCATCCAGATGATCAAGAGAAAACTGCTTTCATCTGCCTCTTGGGGTTCTATGAATTCAATCAGATGCCTCAAGGGTTTTCAGCAGCTTTTCAGCAATTTATGGAAGGCCAGTAGAAGACATGAATCTGATAGAGGTGCTGGTGTACTTAGACGATATCGTGTTTGGTGAGACTCTTGAACAACATGAGAACACAGAGAAGGTTCTGACTACCTCCATGAAGAAGGGTTGAAACTGTCTCTAGAGAAATGCCAGTTTTACTGACCATCTGCCACATACCTCAGCCACGTCTCTGGAGAAGGGATATCAACCGACCCGACAAAGTTTGAGGCCATCACTTCCTGGCCCAGGCCCCAAAATGTGACTGAACTGTGATCATTTCTAGGGTTCTGCTCAAACTATCAGAGGTTTGTTGAAGGGTTTGGGAAGATAGCCCATCCTCTCCATGATCTGTTGAAGAATGAGGAAGAAGTGGATGTCTGACAGTTTGGGTCAACTCCACCAGGATAAGGGGCCCAGGTAGTCCTGGGAGTCAATTCAAGCAGAGTGGGCAAAGCAGTGTGAACAGGCCTTCAATAAACTTGGGAGACTGACCAATGCCCATGTCTTGACCTACACAGTCCCAAGTTTCTTGATAAGCTACATGTCAATGCTAGCTGGGACGGCCTTGGAAGGGGTAGCCACCTTGTCTGGATTCCGTTTCAGCTTAAAGCAGGGGTTCCCATTCTATGGGCCATGACCCACTACCAGGCCGCGAGGTAACCGCCAGCAGGCCGCATAAGTGGCTGGCTGGTGCATGTGCCTCTGTGCGCACGCACAGCCCGACATGCATGAGTGTGGCTGTGGGTACTCATGGCCCCACTCAAGCCTCGTCTCAGGTGCTCATGGCCCCACTTGCAGTAGCTTGGTTGCTGGTGCTTGTGGCCTCACTCATGCGAGCGTCGCTGTGAACATCACAGGCGCACCCACATGCACCTGCACGTACCCCTCCCACAAAACCATTCCCTCCCTCTCCCTGCTCCGGGCCACCAAACTGGAAAGGTTGGGGAACTCTGGCTAAAGTACCGGCATTAAATAAAGACATTCACGGACCCTGTTGGTAAAAAATATTATAGGATTAACGTCTTGTATGTACAGATCATTGGTGAACTGTATCTCACACATCGGGGGAACCAAAGAAATTTGGGCAGGGGGGAGTGTATAGCAGGGGTAGTGAGGAGAGCAGCACCCAGTATCAATCTTTTATTGATAGTCATCACCATGATACTAAAAATGTTTATGCGGATGTTTCAGGTACAATAAAATATCCTTTGGTGTCTTTACTAAGTATCAATTCACAAGCTCCGTGACTGCTATTCAATGGGAATCCTGAGTTTTGTGAAAAAGAAATTTGAAGTTCTCCTCCTCAACTGGGTGTTCATGAGACCAAAAATGCCCGTATTTGGTCTATAAGATGCACTTAAATTTTCACCCACTTTCAAGGGGGGGGGGGAAGAGTGCGTCTTGTTCTCCAAAAAATACGGTATTTATTTGCATCCTGCCTTTATTACTTTTACAAGTAATAAATGCAGGATGCAAATAAATATCCAACACACCTTCATCCTCCTATTTTCCCACATAACAACAACTCTGAGGTAGATTGGGATGAGAGAGAGAAAGACAGAGAGAGAGAGACAGAGAGACCAAGAGAGAGACAGAGAGACAGAGACCGAGAGAGGGGGGGGAGAGATTGGTCCAAGGTCACCCAGCTGCCTTTTATAGCTAAAGCCGGACTACAATTCACCGCCTCCTGCTTTGTAGCCTGGTTTCATCACTATTAGACCCAACTGGCTCTAATTTTTACAAGAGGCAAACAAAATAAAACTGTATACCTGCTTTTTTAAAAAAAAGAATAAACGATAAATGAGATTAAAAAATAAAATGCAAATATTCAAACGTAAGAAAAAATGCCCAATTCCGCCCAGAGTTATATCGGAACAGCTTATAAAAAGCAAACATTTTATTGTTTCGTGGTTTTTATAGATGATATATAGATATATGGATAGACAGACGAACCATAGATAGAGATAACATGATTGTGTTGTTGAAGTTTTTGTTTCTATAAATGCTGAGAGTCACAAGACTGCAAATTGCTGTTTTTGAGCTAAACAACTTAACAACTAAAGAGGTATATCAGCTGCCTTCATGCTGAGCTGGTGTGAGAAGAAGGCAGTATCATGAGGACATGTCTTTTAAATGGTTAGCAAGGCGTCTTCATGCTACAGTTAGAAGGATATGAAGATGAGACCCCTAGACTTATTAATATTGGGGATTTCCAGTCCTTGGGCTGCATTAAGTCTCTCCCTTATTTGGGAAGATTGTTTGAGGTTCTCCTTCCATGATCTGCTCTTTCTCCCAATTCAGAACCAATCAATTCAAAATCCAACCTGGGGCTCATCATCGGCTGCGTTGTGGCTGCCCTTGTCCTGGCGTGTG